CTATATCATTTCTCCAATGGCTAATTGAAGATTATGATGCCAAGTTAATACTAGTCAGCCCGCACGTGAGACTTGGGCCCATCTGCAGTCCTGCCCTAACTCCTCAGTGCCTTTCAATCCTGGATGCCAGATGGGGCAGCCTGGGACTTGGAGGAGGCCTTTATCTCACAATTTTAGCACCAGAAGAGGAGTCCCATGATGATGCTACCTTTGTGTTAAAAGCAAGAGTCATAGCAAGGGTTGGAAACAGGAAGTTTGGTATCAGGCACCAGCTCTGCCACTTTTAAGTGACTTGTCTCTGTTTCTCCATCTGTAAAATGGGGACGATAAAAATGTCAGCCTTGTAAGTTTGTTGTGAGAGTTAAATAAGACAGCAGCGGTGCAACGTTGAGCACAATGTCTGGCACATACTGAGTGCTTGTTTAAAAAAGGCTGTATGCATGGAATCAGAGAGGATCCACCTTGTGGAATAACTTCTCTTGGATTAGGGAAGTGCTTATCAATGGGCCGTATTCACAGTTTACATGTGAACTTGTTTCTTACGATTGCCATGTATCAAGAAAATGTCTAGAAGCAAAGGATTCTCTTTATGCTTCAATTCTTATTCTTTTTCAAAAATTTATTTGCTTTGCAAGAGAGAGCAAGAGAGAGAGAGAGAGAGAGAGAGAGAAGGGAAGGGGCAGAGAGAGAGAAAGAGAGACAGAGAGACAGACAGACAGACAGACAGAATCCCAAGCAGGCTCCTTGCTGTCAGCATGGAGTGTGTGTGATGCGGGGCTTGAACCCCCGAAGCTGCAAGATCAGGACCTGAGCCAAAACCAAGAGTCAGACGCTCAACCAACTGAGCCACCCAGGCACCCCCTATGCTTAAATTCTAAACCCCAGGTAGCATCAGGGTTCAAGACAGGGGCTTTGAGGAATGGAAAACATTTCTCTTGCATCTCATTTTATAACACGAAGTTCCATTTACCTAACAGAGGCACACTATGGACATTTCCAGAGAGAGACAATGAGTCACTGTGGAGGCAGCATCAGACTTTTTATTTCATCCTGTCATCAGTGTGTGCTTGAGGCATACTCCTATCACTGCGAGAATATGGGTTCTGCACCAACAGACCTGCCAGGAATTCGGTCCCAGCGTGACATAGTAGGGAAAGCTCTGCTGTAAGAGTTCTAAGAAAACAAGTCTGGTCCTTGAGTTGCCCCTGACGTGTTGTGTCACTTAGAAAAAGGCATGCTACTTTTTCTAGCCTCAATCTTCTCATCTGTAACTTGGGGAGATTAATACTCTGACTATGGAATAGGATTGTTGAGAAACAATACACGAACATGCTTTCCACATTATGAAGGGTTAAACAAATGGAATCTAATATTTTTATTATAAAGCCATCACCTTCTATAGAGATTTCTGCTGCCTGTAGCAAATGCTGCCTTCTAGGTGTCCGATATGACTTGCGGCAAAGGTTCGGTACGCTTGGAGCTAGTTCCTGAGTGGGAGCAGGAGATCCAGCCTTAGAGACTAGAGTAGAATGTGGTGAAGGTCAGCTTTGTCCCAGGGTAGCAGTTTGCAAACGTTAGCATGCATCAGAATCACCTGGGAGAGTGGGTTCCATCCCCTGGGCTTCTGATTCTGTAGGTCTGGGGGTTGGGCCTGAGAATTTGCATTTCTAACACATTCCCAGGTGATGCTGACAGCTGCTGGTGGAGGGTGGTGTGGGGGGATGGATACTCAGAGAACTACTGTACTAGGGCAATCAGGAAGGCAGGAAGAGGGAGTCCTCCTTCTGGAGGAGGAGTGAACCAGACAGTGTGAAGGTCCATGTGGGTAAGGTGGTTTGGAAGGACAAAAAATGCAGAAGACAGAAAAATAGGGATAATGTGCAGATTGGGCAGAACAAAGGGAAAAGTCTCACTCCATAACAAATGCAAGTAGGGGGAAGTTGCTAGGTGATGGATGAGGGAGAGAGGTGAATTTCCACTGTAGGAAAAGCCAGCAGAATTGGAAATATACATGTTTTAAGGAGGCAGAAGAGGTGGAAATTTCTCATTAAGAAGTCAGGAGTGATGGTGTGTTTGGTGCTGGGGGGTGGGAGTAGAGACAGACGGGGGAGAAGTGCCTTCGTAGAGTAAGGGGGACAGCTGAGATGTGGCAGAGGGGGTAATTTCAGGGCTGTGTGGTTTGGCTTGGTAGTGAAGCACAATAGAAATTGGGAGAAAGGGGGTGGAATTTAGATGTGTGACCTGCCCCGTAGCTTTCTTGCTCTCTGCATTTATCACATCACATCACACCCAGCAAGACAGCCCCCCTCCTCCTGGCTCATTAGGAGATTTGATTCGGCTTGGCTCCTGCTGTCAGCAGCTGTCTGGGGCAAGATCTTTATGCTCCCTGCTCCCTGAGCAGCAACCAGCCTTCAGCCAGCAGCAGAGCTCATTAGAAGAGGGCCCCCTGGACACTTGATTTTCAGCTCATTGGTGGCCGGAAAGAGTTAATACCTACGGCTTTGCTGCCCCCTGCACAGCCTCTGGGTGCAGAGGGAGGCAGCTTTGGGCTGTGGGGACTTCTCCCTGAGCTGCAGCCAGAGGAGCAGGGAAGCAGGTTAGTGAGGCTGAAGAGGAAGGTATGGGAGGAGTGCCAGGCGAGCTCTGTTCAGGGGCACCTCCTGCATCCTGCCAATGAGGATGGGCGTGCAGACTGTGCCCGGGAGCTGAGCCGCCGCCCGCTGGGTGTAGGCTGCTTCAGTATTTACTGGATGTGACAAGCAGAGAGAAGAGCTTTCAGCGGGGCCGCCTGCTGCCCGGCTCGAGTGGTGGGAGGTGTGTTGTGCGTGCATGCGTGTGTATATATGTGTGTGCACGCACGAGTGTGCCTGTGCATCCATGCACACATGTTCTTCACCCACCGAGGATCTGACTGCTAAAAGAAAGATCTACTCTTTCCCCAGAACTCCTTAGCCTGCAGCCTCTCTGACCATCCAGTTGGCAAAGACCTGCAGGCCATGAGGACCGGTCAAAGACAGTGAGTATGGCTTTTGCTTTTCTCTTTCCTCTTCAAGGTGCCCATGTGGGCTGATTGCATTATCCATATTTAATTAACCTGCCTCTCCATGCATATTGATTGCTTTCTCCCTGCTGAGACTCTTCGTTTCTCTTCCCCTCTTTAAAAATCGTTGCTCTTTGCTTTTAACCTTTGTTTTTTCCTTGAGTATCCTCTCTTTCCATTATGTCCCATCCTGTCCGCCTCAGAGTCACCTGTAACTTGGTGTCCACCTAAGAGGGCACATTGCTGCAGGCCTGTCTGGGCTCTGGTAACCCCGAATTCTGTCCCCTAGAAGTCAAGGGCCAAATGGAATTAGAGTCCCAAGATGCTGGGGTGAAGGAGGCAGCGGGGGCCAGAGTGTCCTGTAGATTCTTATTTAATCGAATCCAAGGCTGAGCTGAGTGAAGGGATGGTGGAAGGTCCGAGGGGCAGCAGTGGGCAGTGCTGGATTTGGAAGGGAGAGAGGCAGGCATGGAAGCAGTCCCAGCAAGCCAGTAGGAGCTAGCAGTGGGAACGGGAAGAGAGGCAAGGCAGTGACCGGAGGCCTGGTAACACCTGCCCCCAATGACCTTGCCTGCCATGTACGTGGGGAGCAGTCCCTGCTTCTGTTCAGCACCAGAGTAATGAAGGCCCCTGGCACAGGCTTCCCATCCTCTGTGGCTGTTTCCCATAAGCAGGAGGAAATGAGGCAGAGGTGCCCCAAACAGTGATTCCTTGCAGCTGTAGGAGAACCTTAAGGCTGCAAAGAGCTTCGATTTCCTGACTTCTGGCCAGGCAGGTGTGCGCACCATTAGGACAAGGATGAAGGAGACGTCCTCACTGGCAGGGAACGTGATCTAAGCTCAGTCGCCTGGGGATGAGCTTTTACACAAAGTCTAACTGGTTTTATTTATTTATTTTTTAGTTTAGTTTTAAAGCAGTCTTTTAATTTTATTAATTATGGTATTATTCGAGACGGTATTTCAAAAAGTATTTGTTGAAATGTTCCGTGTAATATCAAAATAACTTACATGGAGTAAGATCGAGTGGGGACCGTATCTATCTAAATTAGGTTTCTTTTAAAATGGATTCTATGTTTGGTGTCAGGGTTCCCCGGGGGAGCCCTTTATGGATAGGCTGCTCTCTTCACGTGTTTCTTCCTGTCATTTTTGTGGGAACAAAGGGTTTGAAGTACTGAGAGTGGGACCCTCAGGAGAGAGAGATGATCAGTCGATGAGCCCTCAGCCTCAGTATCCCCTTTCCTGATGTCCTCCCTACTTCAGGTCGGGAACAGGCCAGTGCCCAGGCTGAGGAAGGTCAGGCAGCCTCCCCGTGGGCAAGACAGAGAGGTTGGCATATTCATTTTGTCAGCTTGTGCCTGTGATCCCTGCAAAGGAGCAAGCCTATGCCGTGACAGTGCTCGATGAGCCTTCACCCTTCCTCCTGCTTATACCCTCCCAAGGCTCCTTGCATCCCATCCTTAGAGGAAGGCGAGAATCAGAGAGGCAGCCAATCAAATAATTCTAGAACAAGCGCTGACCACCCACTCCCCACCCCTGGCTGGCTGTTCACTTGGGCCCCACCGGAATAAGACAAAGAGAATGGTAATTTTTGGCTTGCCAGGCCCATGCCTCCCTCCCCTGGGGCATGTGCCCCACTTCACTGTTGATGGGCTGTGTTTTGGGGACGTAGGAGCCACCCAGCAATTTGTCCCTGTTCATCCTTAGTTGGTCACCCTTCCTCAGGACAAGCAGGCATTTGTGGGGAGCGGGCTGTGTGTGGGAAGGTATTCTGTCAGCGGAAAGCCATCCAAGAGGATTTGTAGCGCAGTCAGATAAGAGAGGGTGGTCCCCCTCTTACAGCAGATTCTTTGATTTTAGGTGAGAGGACGTGAGAGGGATTTACCCCTGTGCCCCGCAGTCTTATCTCCCGCCCTGACGTCCCTGCACACCGGCCAGAGGGTTAACCGTAAGCGTGTGCCTGCATGGCCGCTTTACTGATGCCACGCAGGTAATGATGCTAACCTGTCTTCCCGCGCCTGTCCCTTTCCCCTTTCTCCCCTGCTGTTTGAGCCTGCCCCAGCCTTCTAATCCCACGGGTGGTCCACTTGCATCCAGCCCCTCAGGCCATCTGTGTGGACCATGCTGTCCTTCCTGGGTGCTTCTTGCAAAGTTGTGGCCTTGCAAACGGGACCTGCCTTAGAGCCAAACCCTCCTATTGACTGGTGGGACTCATGGGGTGGGACTGTGCATGAGCTTGTACTGAACCATTTAGGGACCTCTGTAAGGTACTGGAATAGGGAAGAGAGATGAGGGCAAGCTTTGATTTCTGGTTTTGTGTTGTTGTTGTTGTTGTTTTTAAGTAACCTTAACCTTTGACTCTCACTTCTGCTCCCATTATTTCAGACCTAACTAACAGGGTTATAATTCAGGTCTCAGCTACACAAGATGGAAAATCAAAACCATTTGGCCCCAAAGAATATCTTGTGGAAGATCTTTGCAAACTATTTGGGAGAATCACCGTTGTCTTGGTAACAAGTATACCCTGTACACTGGCCCCTGCTAAACTTGGTTAGATGGCTTTTGTGGATTTGCCATTTTTTGAAGTCCTCTTAATTGCTCTTCGGGGGCATTGACCTGACTATTCTGTGAGTGATGATTCTGGGGCACCGAGGAGTGAATGTACTCCCTGAAAGTTGGGTTTTGGCCTTGGTGCAGCCAGAGCAAGACCTTTACTTGAATTCATGGAATGTGGTGACTCAGGGACCCTTCATCAGTTGCTCACATGGCCTGGTGTCAGAGCACCCTGTGATTTGTAAGAGTGAGTGGACATAACATGCTCACCATCGCCGGAGATAGAATGGCTAGCACCAATGTTTTAAAATGCCACAAAATCGATGGCTTCATAATGCGCCTGGCTGAGATCAGAGGTGGGAACATAGGACGTGCAGACCCAGTTTTCTGCAGGAGAGGGGATATTTCTGGGAACTTGGATGTTCCAGCTTTAAAAGGCTCTCGGAGATGGGCTGTGGAATACAAATGTCCACCCTTTTGCCAAATATAATACCGTCCCAGTTGACGTTTGTTGGAGAAGCTGGGACAGGGATGAAAACCCATGTGGAGTGAAAGGAAGAGATCGAATTGGATGGCTTCTAATGTCTCTGCCCAGGTCCAGGATTCGTGAAACAGGGGAAGGGAAAGCCAGGCTGGAAGAACTTCCCTTCCACATGGAAAATAACTTCTATAGGACTATTTCTGTGGCAAATTGTTACCAGTGTGCATGTGGTGGTGCCCTTTTAGGTCACTCCAAAGTCCTGATTTGATTACCCCAAACCTTCCCACTTACCTTTGCTCTGCATGCGAGGAGCTGCCACAGTTAAAGGTCCAGGGTCAGTAAACTTACTCTGTCAAGGGACAGAGAGTAAATATTTTGAGTTTTATACAGTCTGTATTGTAACCATCCAACTCTGCCCTCCTGCTTGAAAGCAGGTTTAGACAATATGGAAGTGAATGGGTGCTGTCGTGTTCCAGTAAACTTTATTTACACAAACAGGCATCTTGTGGGGCCGTAGTTTGCTGATCTCTGGTTAAAGGTTAAAAGGCACTAATGTTGTAAGTCAGAAAGAGACATTCGCGTAATATCCCATTGGATTCTCCATAACAGAGAACCTTTAAACATCTTAGGAAAATAAAAAGTACAAGAATTTTACACATATGTGTTAAAATTGTAAACATGCTGATTGAGATAAGCCAGAATATAAGTAGGAATATGAGAGATGAGTGAAGTCCATGAAAGAACTGAGAAAGGGGTCCTGGTTCTTGACGACCATTCATTGCAGTCACCTATGGGTGTTGGTCCTTGCTGGTCCGTAGCCATTTATGTATAAGTATATATATCCCCCCAGGTTTTGGGATGAGTGGGGAGAACCTGAGTCAGAATTAATTTGCCTTAAAGCTTCATTTGTGTGCTGAGATTCTGTGGTCTGCACCCCTGTCTTATGCGAACAACTCTCTACCCTCTGTGTGGGTACCACTTCCAAGGCTTTGCAATCAGAAACTGCTGCTCTTGCTCCTTTGCCCTCCTAGTGGGAGAGCAAAATGTGGATTGTTATTTTGTCTTCGCCGTATTTCCTTTCCCTACAGAGAATCCCAATTTAGAAATTCTTCCAAGCTAATGACCTTCATTGACTTACTATCAAGTTGAATGTTAGCTTTGAAAAAGCCTTAAGCCTCTAGGGGGTAGGGTACCTATTACCATTCCAGTAGTCGAGTTAGGGAGTGAGTATATCCCTTGATCTTCTAGGTATCTCTCCTCTTGTTCATGAAATCTTTAGGGACCGCCTGGGGCAGGATGGGGGGTCAGGGGAGGCAGCTGAGGCTCCTGCAGCAGCAGTTCCGGGGGGCTTTTCTAGAGCTGACAGGTACGATCACAACAGTTCCCCGTCCTTCTGCCCTGTGTTGTTGCAGGAACAAAGGGATGAGGACCCGCCTGGGATGCCTGTCTCACAAGTCAGACTCGTGTAGTGATTTCACAGCTATTCTTCCCGACAAACCCAACCGTGCTCTAAAGTGAGTAGTGCGGCCACCTGGCATTCCCAGGGAGCTCACCATGGGGTGCCCACCTCAGGGCTGTAGGACCTGTTCTTCTCTATTGAGTTGTTGACCAGATGAGCCGGGTGACAGTAAATCCCTGCCACTTGGCAGCTTCTTTTATATCCCTAAACGAGAGTGCGTGGACGTGTACTTTCCTTTTCAAAATGCATGATTTAATTCAGAATAGGAACCCTGTTTTTACTTTTTTTTTTTAACGTTTCTTTATTTTTGAGAGAAAGACAGAGTGTGAGTCGGGGAGGGGCAGAGAGGGAGGGAGACACAGAATCCGAAGCGGGCTCCAGGCTCCGAGCTGTCAGCACAGTGGGGCTCGAACCCACAAACGAGATTATAACCTCAGCTGAAGTCGGACGCTTAACTGACTGAGCCACCCAGGTGCCACCAGCTCTTTTTACTTTTAAGAGAACCATATTATCCACCATTCTTACGAATCTGTGATGAAGGATACTCCCTGGTTCTACTTAGTTGGCCATCTGAGCTCTTAGTTTGGAAACAAGCACTCAAAAATACTCTAAAAATGCGGTTAGGTTCAGATAATCTGGATTCAGTGCCTGTACTGTGCAAGTACTGTGTTAAATGATGTCCTAGATGTTACCTTCTTTAACCCTTGCGAGGTTCTGGGATGTGCATCATGATACCCTTTGCACAGGTGAAGAGATTTATGTCACAGTAAAATATGGAGTCAGAAGCTCAGCCTACCTTTTCTGACTCTAAGGCTGGTTTCTTTCCATTGTTGTCTTGGCATCTTTATATCATGTGCTTACTTAGCTTGGTTTTTTAGACTGAAATCTAATGTACTCAACACACTGAATTCCAGTACTGAGGTTTGCCATCAGTTACTTAAGAATGTACCCATCGACAGTGACAGAACTGTAGGAATCCAGGTGTGGTTCTTCGTCTGTACCCCTTCCTCTCATTGTTCTGATTTGTTTGCCTGAGCAAATCTCAATGGTTGCTGATGGCGGGGCAGGGGTGGGGGGTCATTTCAGAAATATTCAAGAGAGATGTTTCTTCTTTCCTAGGAGACTATCCACAGAAGAAGCCACGAGGTGGGCAGATTCCTTTGACGTGCTTCTCTCCCATAAGTGTAAGTAGAGTCAGGTCTCATTGTGTCGCAGCAAATCACCCGTTTAGCAAAAGATGCACAAATTCCCACCATGATCCAGGTACTGTACTGGGTGCCCCACACAGCTCAGGTCCCTGCCCTCACAGAGCCTCCTGCTTAGAGAAGTAGATGGATAACAAAACACAGTTTAAGTGTAGTGGGAAGAGGGCCTTCTTTCCTGCATTCTGGGTTGAAAGTATGGTCCCAAGAAGCCTTCATATTTTCAGCAGTTCTGGCAAGAAAGATTTCAGTTTAGGGAGTTGGAGTGATGGGCTCAGTGGGAATGACCGTCTAGTTTCCACCCCAGATCTTGTTTATAAAATTAAATGACCTCCCTCCAAGTCCCTGGAGAGCCTTGGGTTACTCATCCATCAAATGTATATTCTGTGTGTTTTGTTAGTCTTTTGAGTTGGCATAGTTTTGTGTTTTCTTGTTGCTTTTTATTTTGGGGCTTTACTACTCCGGCTGTATCACACTCCTCAGTTTCTGGATTGGTGTGGTTTTTACTAGAACATATTTCTGCTGCCCCTTCTTTTCTGTTTTCCCTTTTCCTCATTTCTCATGCCTTTTGTCCCCCAACAGATACAGACGTAATCATGCATATTTTGGGGTGGGAAGGGTGCTTTGATGCCAGCCAAACTTTCCAGCTCTTGCTTTTTTCTCATCATAAGCAAGTCCAAAATTATCAGGCTTTGAAATTCTACTGGTGGGGTGTCTGGGCAATTTAGTCGGTTAAGCCCCAACTCTTGATCTTGGCTCACATCATGATCTCAGGGTTCAGTTCATGGGTTCGAGCCCCTGCTTAGGATTCTTTCTCTCCCTCTCTCTCTTTGCCCCTCCCTCCCCCTGCTCATGTTCTCTCTCTCGCTCTCAAAATAAATAAATAAAACTTAAAAAACAAAAAAAGAAATCCTAGTGGCAAGAAATACATAGGAGTGGGAGAGCAGGGGTGAGGAAGAGAAGAGGGTCTTTTGCAGAGGAAAGGTTTTACCCAGACCTTCAGAGTTCCTTTTATACCCTTCCTGCCAATAGTAGAAATCCTGATTGATCTGGGTACAGAAGGGTAGCTTTTAGCTTAGAGTCTTGTTTCCACTTAATTGGGGAACTTGATTTTTGTAAGAGGAGGTTAAGGGCATTGGCTGATATTCAGACCTATGTTCTTCATTTTGACCCAGCTCGGCTACTAGGTAATTGAGTGGCCTTGATGGAGTCCCCCAATCCTCAGATGTCTTTAGAACTGGTTTTTCTCTCTGCTGGATGGGCTGTTCCCTCTAACTATGCCCCGATCCTAGTAAACTAGTTAACAAATGCTCTTGAACAGATTTTAAAATGAAATGTGAGATCTAAGACTAAGCATATATTGTAGCAAGTAGTTTCGTGAGACACATAGTCATTTGAGTGTTCTGTGGACTACACTCAGGAAGGAAAACAAGCCAGCATAGGTAGAGTGTGTATGACATGTGGCTGTACCCCAAACAGCCAGCTTCTGTGGTAAATTTGCCAAGGTAATGGCATATGTTCAATAATACTTTGGATTTGGCAGGAAGGCTTGTTTTTATGAGGCTATTTTTTTGACTTGTTTTCTGGAGTCACATTAGGCTAGACAAGTGTCACTATTAATTTACACCTTCTTTCCTGGCTGGATTTACTTCAAGGTCATCTTGAAGTTTGGTTTCTATTTCAGCCTCATAACTGACTCACTTAGTTCAAGTCCCTGAGGCTGTTTCCTCATTCTGAAATGGTGATAGAAACACCTGTGTACTACCTGTCACCTGGGTATGAGAATCTTCACAAGAAGACACCTTTATTGGGGTTTTCTACTTAAAGGTGTTGTGTAAGAATATGGTGGTATTTTTTTTAATGATGCTTATTTATCAAATGCAAAATAAATGTGCCTTAAGAATAAGTTTGCAAATTTGGCTGCCAGTTATTAATGCTGAGCCATTAGAGACAAAGCTTATGGTCATTAAATTAGCGGATGGACTCTTAGGGTATATTTGAACTGCTGCAGTGACAAGACCTGGAGATTAAAAGGTTTACTTTTATTTGTTTGATTCAGTGACTTTTAGAGCTGCAGACACTTGGTTCTCCTTCCATCCTGGATGTATTTGGTTTCCAGGAAGGCAGTTACTCCTTTCTGAGATGGGGATTCCACTAAGGGGCCACCACATTGCTTCTTTGTCAAGGCACAACAGAAATAGGTTGTTTTGGACTTGGAGGTTCTGTGATCCTTCCTGGAGTCTGATGTTCTGTTTTGATTTCTGTTTAGCATAGAAATAAAAAGCCAATGAGCGAACATCTTTGAAAAGAAAGAGGCCTGTATTCACAGGTCACTGGCAGAATTTCCGTAGCCTTCTCCCTGTGAAGGCTAGGGAGGAGTTGGAGCCCAGGTTACCTTGAAGGGTGTTGACAACTTTCTTAAAGTCTAATTAATTTGGGTTAATGCTGTGACTCAATTAGGGCTGATTAAGCTTTTCCAAAGGGATTGCATGTGTGCTGGTCCCTCAGGAGGGACAGTGGTTGATCAGAGATGTGCAGGGCTTTCAATTAAGATAGCAAAATGTCCTAAAAAGTAAAGAAAGGAGAATCACGAATGAGCTCCGGAAACAATGTGCTTTAATTTTTTTTTTCAACGTTTATTTATTTTTGGGACAGAGAGAGACAGAGCATGAACGGGGGAGGGGCAGAGAGAGAGGGAGACACAGAATCGGAAACAGGCTCCAGGCTCTGAGCCATCAGCCCAGAGCCCGACGCGGGGCTCGAACTCACAGACCGCGAGATCGTGACCTGGCTGAAGTCGGACGCTTAACCGACTGCGCCACCCAGGCGCCCCAACAATGTGCTTTAGTCTAGAACCCACCCCCCTGGTAATCCTCTGTATGTAGGCAACTGTCCTCCCTGAGTTTTCTATTTCAGATAATTCTTTTTTTCCCCCATTCTCAGTTTATAGAGCATCTTTACCTTCCCTACTCTGCTTGAGTGTTTTGGGCACTCATTTATTTCAATAAAGGTGTACTAAGTGTTCATTATGTTTGAGGTCTGTGCTAAGCAGTTGGTTGGGGGTGGACAGGACAGGACCTCCCTGGTGGAGAATGCAGCCTTCTGAGACGTGGACATAAGAAATAATAGTGTGCTGACTACAGGCTACGGAGTTTCAAGATTTCAGATAGAATCCTGATATTGGGTGTTCCTCTTAAATTCCATTTTGTCAGTATTAGAAGTCCTTACTGACCTGGCAGCAGCGGGTCTGTTTTTAGTTTAGAGCATTGTTTGCACTTAATTGGAGAATATGCTTCTGCACAATTAAGTTAAGAACATTAGCTGGTAGTCAGACCTGTGTCCGAATGATTTTAACCCGGTTCTGCTTCTAAATAGCTGGGCAGCCTTGATGGAGTCCCTCAATCTCTTGGAAAATCTGGTTCTTCATCTCTACAATGAAGGATCTGGAATACGGTGTTTCAGAGACTGGATCCAGGACTACCCTCTTGTTCTAGGATGCTGTCTGTAGCAATCCCGGAGACTGAGCCATAACCAAACACCTACGGCAGGTGGTTTGAGTCAGCGCTGCCTGCAGGGTTACGTAAAGCTGCTTCAAAGCTGAAATTGTTCAGGCAACCAAATGAGGGGCTGAAGCACCTGGGTTACAAAGCCTTTCCTCCTCGACAGGGTCCCACCATGTAGGGAGCTCTTCTCAGGCTCAAACCTCAGGAAAAGAAGAAAGAAACTTCATTTTTTAAACTTTAGAAAGAGAAAAATCTGGAAAGCAAAT